ATTTGGTTTTTGTTTGTTTGTTTTTTTTTTTTTTTAGTTTGGATAGAATGATTATGTGTGTGTTATTTTTCAAAAAAATTATTTTTTGTAGTTATAACTTAGTTTGAAATTGTTGGATTTTGTTTATTAATGTCTCAAAGTAATTGTTTACAAATTGTTTACAGATGTCTCAAAGTAATTGTCAGCACTGGTTATATGTTCCTGTTTTCCTGTTGCAGGAAAGAAAAAACAAAATCAGAGCTTTTAGGGAAGGGAAGGCAATAGAATTGAGAGGCAGAAGTACGTGTCACAATTCTACTTAGAAATCTTTTTTTTTTTCTCCTCATTACCCAAATCCTAATTATAATGAGCTTAGATTTCTTTTGTTGTTATTTGGGTTTTATATAGTTTGTTATTTATTAAGCTTGATTTATTTCATTTAGTGTTCTCATTTTTAACACAGTTTCTTGAGCGGCAGCAAAAGATGTTGCAAGCTTTTGCAAAACATAATAAAATGATGAAAGATTGTTCAAATGGAAAAGGTACTGAAGTTTGAATTATTCTAACTTTTCTTTTTTTAATCTCTTCTATTAGAAATTTTTTCTGATCTCAAGTTTGGGATTTCATTGCAGGATTTGATCGTCACCTTTTAGGTCTTTTACTCATAGCAAAAGAGGAAGGCCTTCCTATTCCAGAACTCTTTACAGACCCACTTTTCTCCAGAAGGTAGTGTAATGTAAAGCTTTATAACCTCCACCAATCTGTTCCTTCTTTCTCTGAATATTAAAAATGCTTCAGAAATAATGCAAGCATTTGCAGATCTAGTAAAACATCCTTTTTTGTGTGCCACACAGTGGAGGAGGTGGAAACTTCGTTCTCTCAACAAGCCTGGTTGGTTATTTACGAGTCCAGGGAGTCGTGGTTCCTATGATACACAATGGATATGGATTTTTCTACCACATCAGAGATGACAAGTGAGCCTACTCTTTTACTCTTACCGGGTAGAGTAAGAATCAATAGTACATTTATTATTGGGGTACTTTTTCCTAGTCTATAATTTTACCTATGTTATCTGTGATATGCTACATAAGTAACTACTTCTTGCTACCTAGGCATTTAATGTGTATTTTTTGAGATATCTGCTTTTGAGATATTTATGAAATCAGTCTTGAGGGGTTTTTTTTTTTTAATTAATGCAGAACACTGTATCAGTTTGTTTCAGTGATCTTTATTTTTGAAGTCAGTATATTCTTTAACATATTTGGCCTATACAAATATTTTTTGGTAAGTTAAAATTTGTAAACAGATTGCCCTCCATCTCCACAGGTCTGCACTGTAGACAGGATAGGAGTTTGGAGGCACATCAGCTGGAATGCAGAGAACTAGATGGTATTAGACATAGTAAATTTTAGTTTCCAATAGGTATGCACGACCATACCCAGCTTCCAATATATTTTTTTATGCTTTCCTTTTTGGTAAGATTTTACACTATTTTTTAAATTTATTTCCTGCTTTCCTCTTCTGATTTGTGCATAGTTAGTTACACCAGTGGTGCTTGCTGATGTTGGCCTCTAAGCCCTTTGATTGTGTATTCCTGTAGGATGCATTGTGCACATCAATGTACAAATTAAAGACAAATGATAAAAGTTACATGAATCTTAATGTTTTTCATTTAAAAAAAGAATTAGGCCAGGTGTGGTGGTGCATGCCTTTAATCCCAGTAGAGGCAGAGGCAGGTGGATCTCTGTGAGTTCCAGGCCAGCTGGGGCTACAGTAAGACCCTGTCTCAAAAAAAAAAAAAAAATAGAGGGCCAAAACAATAATCCACAAAGAATAAGCATTTGAGCATATTCCCTAACAAGAAGAGGTTCTGTGTTATATGCACTGAGCTGAGTTCAGGCCACATGTATTTCAGGTCACTTTCTTCAGAAAACTACTATTTTTATTTTTATTTTATGAGTATATTGCCTGCATGTGTCTAAGTGTACCTGTGTTGTGCAGTTCCTGTGGAGATCAGAAGAGGGCATCAGATCCCCTGGAGCTGGAGTTACATATGGTTGTTAGCCACCATGTGGGTACTGGGAATTGAACCCAGGTCCTCTGCAAAAGCAGCCAGTGCTCTTAAACGCTGAGCCACCTCTCCAGCCCCTAGAAAATTACTTTTAATGCTACTGGAAAAGAACATCCATTCACTTATTCAGGAAATATCTAGTGAGACCTTAACAGTATGTCACGTTTTGGATGCTAAGGACAAAAGATAGATTATAGATTTTCTTTTCTACTTGGAGATATAAAAAAGCAAACAGATAAATAAGGTAAGTTTAAATGGTGATGAATACTATGCGGAAAATAATCTCCATTATTACATCAACTTGCTTAACTGATAGGGAGGTGCAGTGGGTCAAGGGACCTTCTCTAAACAATGATAATAAAAGTGAGTTGTTAAAAATGAGGAGGAATCGATTGCATGTGTAAACAAGAAACAGCTCTCCAGAATCTGACTATTGCTTCCCCTCACTAGCACTAATATCTAAGCTAAGCCACCATCTTTTTTCACTTAGCTACAACAGGTTCCTGTATTCTCTGCTTGCTCATTACGTGTCCTTCCCTATGAACCACTCTACACCAAAGCTATGTTGTTCCTTTTAAAAATATAACTTGGGGGCTGGAGAGATGGCTCAACAACAGTTAGGAACAATGGCTGTTCTTACAGAAGACCTGGGTTCGAATCCCAGCACCCACACAGCAGCTAACAACTGTCCATAACACCAGCTCCAGGGGATCCAACACCCACTTCTGTCCTCTGCAGGCATTGCACGACACAGGTGTACTTACCTACACACAGGCAATACACACATATACATAAAATAAAAATAACAAATAAAATATTATATATATATATGTATATATAACTTGGGCTAATAAGATGGCTCAGTGTAAAGGTGCTTGCTGTCAAGCCTGATGACCCTGGAACCCACATGGTGCAAAGAGAACCAACTCCATAGTGTGTCCTCTGACTATCACATGCATACTGTGGTCCATGTGAGACCACCCCACACACACATACTCATACTAAAATATAATAAAATATAAGCAATAACAAACAAAAAATATAACTCAGGTGATGTCATTCTTCAAAACTTTCCAGGGACTTTCCCTTTCGCTCATAGTAAAGTCCAAAGTCCTCCTATGACAGCTTGTATGATTGAGCTCTTGCTTGCTGTTCTGACTCTGTCTTCTATGACTCAGTTACTCTTTTACTCTAGTCAACTACACATACATCGTCAAGGCAGGCACAATTAGGATCTCCACCTAGTTTTCTCCCTCCCCCCCATTCTTTTCTTTTCCTTCTTTCTTTCACTTTTTTTTGAGACAATATTTCCCTATAGCCCCAGCTGGCCTGGGACTCACTATGTAAACCAGGTTGGCCTCAACTTCACAAAGATAGGCCTGCCTCTGCCTCTCCAGTGCTGGGACTAAAGGTGTGTGCCACCATGCCCAGCAGTTTTCTTCTTCTTGAAATATATGCAGGGATCCCCTTGTGTCCTTTTGGGATTTCATTTTCATTGATTTTAAGCAACTTTCATTAACTATGTTTTGTTGTATTTTAAGTGTTGAATAATTTTACTTCCATATAGAGGACGTAACATGTTTAGTAAGGAATAATTTGTAGTCTTCCCTGAGATAAATTTACATAATTTGACTACTTTCTTGTTTTCCCATTCTTAAAAAATAGCATATATATATATATATAGCCAGGCGTGGTGGCACACGCCTTTAATCCCAGCACTCGGGAGGCAGAGGCAGGCAGATCTCTGAGTTCAAGGCCAGCCTGGTCTACATAGTGAGTTCCAGGACAGCTGGGGCTACAGGGAGACCCTGTCTCAAAAAGACCAAAAAAAAAAAAAAATAGCATATATGCTATAAGTATAATATACTTTTTCTCATTTTATCACAGTTTCTAACTCTAGTTTATAAAGTATTTTACTAGCTTGGTAGAGAAAAGTAATATTAACTTCAATTCTTTACTTATGAAGTGAAATTTTTTTCATTCTTTATTGGTATTTATGTTCCTTTTGTGAGTTACTAAGAATTTTGTTTACAGTATAGCTGGAAATTTTCTCCTGTTGCTCATGGGTCATTAGGTAAAAATAAGGCACAACTTCAAGATTTGTATATATCTTTTAGCAAATATAAACCATTCAAAAACCGTTTTGTCTTGAGAGTGTCGCTCAATAGTAGAGTAACTGCCTACCATATAAAAGGCCCTGGGTTTAAAAAAAAAAAAAGTTCATCATTAGATACCAGGACAGAGGGAGAGGACATGCTTTTATTTCTTTTTGCTTCATCTTTTTAAGTCCATATTGAAGACATACTTTGCTATTCTTTTCAGTGATATAAAAATTGCATGACTGTCCAGAACCTTTAAGTATTTTAATTCTGAGCTTTATTCATACACTTCATAAAATCTTTGAGGACTAGTCCCATGAAAGTTAGGAAGCAGGTTTTCAACTGGAGCCAGCCAGATACCAGGTTCTCTCCTGATTATTTCAGCTTCCCAGAGTCCCATTTTCTCATTTGCTAGATCTGGAAGTGCTCCATCAGGGGGATCCAGTGGGAGATGGTGGAAGGCAAGACTTGCTCGTAAGAGACCTTCTGTCTGTTCCTTCTAGAAATTACTTTCTCAATCTCTTGCCTGTCCCTGTTTTTTCTTTCCTTTTCTCTTTAAAATGCTCATCCCACATGGCAGCTAATAACTACCTGTAACTCCAGTCCCAGGGGATCCAACAGCCTCTTCTGTCCTCCGCGGGCACTGCACGACACGGGTGCACTTACCTACATGCAGGCAATACACACATACACATAAAATAAAAATATAAAATAAAAAATTTTTAAATGCTTGTCAAGTGCTATACTCTTCTTAGAAAAACAATACAACTTTTATTACAAAGAATAGCATGAATTCATTCATCTAATGCACTTCATCAACAACTTTTAGGAAGAAGGGTTTTATTTGTTTGCTTGCTTTGGTTTGAACATTCACTCTTGCTCCAGAAACCTCTTGTGCTCTTATGTTTTTGTTCCTTTTTTCCTCAGGCCCTTTATAATCGAGTGATTTAGGGGTTCCTTAGCATTATCCATAACTGTGGCTCTGTCTTCAGTTGTGTCAGGTTATGTATACCTAACATCCAAGAATTCACAGCCAGATGGAATATCTAGCATCACAATCTGGAACCTATGGCATAATGATTATTCTGTTATGTGTCCTTCACAGGTTTGTGGTGGCGTGTACAGCCTGGAAATCATGTCCAGAGACTGATGCAGAAAAACTAGTTCAGATGACTTTCCAGGCTTTCCATGATATGATACAGCTGATGAACATGGCTCATCTTTAGAGACTCAGCACCAAACCAATCATTAACTAGGTACTGAGAGTAGGCTGGTGATGTGATGGGAAGGAGTATTGATTTAAAGGAAACTTGTTCATGTAGAGATTGTAGAATCATGCTCTCTAAGTTTATCCTACCACAGACGGTGGAATGTTTTTAACTTCCTGTGGAGCAGCGGCAATGCAAATTAAGACATAGTGAATATAGATCTGTGCAATGTTTAATATAATATAAGCCTCGACAATGCAAATCTACATTTTAACAATGCAAATCCTACTCTAATGTTTAAATATCTTTGTTGGTACATGTGTGGGATGTAAGTCCTCTGTGAACATAGTTGTAGAGTCCATTTTTCAAGCACTTTAACATTTTCTAATTGCCAAAGGGTATAAAGTACATGGTTAGATGCTAATTTCTCCAAAATCAGTGCCTTCCACACTCAGCACAGGGATGCAGCCTATTAGGTTTGATGGGGAAACCACTACAGTTCAGTAGTAATCCAAAATAGTTTCTTTGAACAGACAAAAAATAGGTTATAATAAGAAATTTACACTCTCTAACACAGAAAAAAATCCTAACAAAACTCCTCATTATAATAAGTTATAATTCATTTTATGAATATAAAAATTAGTCACTTACATTTGAACCTAATTGTTACAGTTAATAACTTTTAAAGGGTTAAATGATGAATCAAATTCTCAGGATTTTACAGTTTTTTTTTCCTTACTGTTAAATTTTGTAGTTCCTATTATCAGAAAATAAAACATTCAAAATCATACTGCTTCTTTTGTCTTTAAAAAAAGATTATCCGTATTTGCCTTCTTTGCATCTGATATCAGCTAAAATATTGTGTGATAAACCACCCCAAACCTACTGTCTTACAACAACAAACCCTATCTCATGAATTTGTCTATTGATTGTGCTAAGGTACACAGTTATTCTGCTGGTGATAAAGTCACTTATATAACTGAAGTCATCAGACAACTGTGACTGAGGATGAAAGGTCTGAAATGGCTTCCTGGATTCTTGGTGACTAGGACGTTGGTTCCTCATGAAGTCTCTCATAATTCAGTATTCAAGACCAGGTGTCTTTATTTGGCAGTAGAATGTTCTGATGGATGAAGGGGACAATGGCAAAGTTTCTTATGCCTGGGCTCTGTGGTCACATAGCATCACTTCTGCACTCTTTTTATTAAGGCACAATTGGAAAGGAAAGTTAGAAAGGGAAGTTCATATTCAAGGAATGAGGTTAAAGTATTCCCCTTTTTGTTTGTTTGTTTGTTTGGTCTTTTTGCGACAGGGTCTCTCTGTAGCACCAGCTGGCCTCAGACTCACTATGCAGACCAGCCTGGCCTCGAACTCACTGTGCAGACCAGCTTGGCCTCGAACTCACAGAGATCCACTGCCTCTACCTCCCAAATGCTGGGACTAAAGACATACACCATCACGCCCAGCTAAAGTATCCCTTTATAAAAAATATTTTATTTATTACTTTTATGTGTAAGAGTGTATTGCCTGCATATATGTAAGTACACTATGTCGTGCAATACCTGTGGAGGTCGGAAGAGGGTATTGAATCCCCTGGAACTGTATTTATGGACAGTTGTTAGCTGCCATATGGGTACTGGGAACTGAACCTAGTCCTCTGCAAGAACAGCCACTGCTCTTATCACTGAGCCATCTCTCCAGCCCAAAGTATCCCTTTTCGATAAGAACAACATAGTATACTGATTTTGTACAGCTCCCTTTTAAAATATTTCCACATGCTTTGAGTTTGACAAAGACAGTTACTGTTATCATTATATCTTGTAACAACTGGCATGTAAACCCTTTATAGTGAGTCAGGGTCAATTTGGAGAAGCATGAGGACTGTTTTCTCTTTTGTGACATTTGGAGTTGGCTCCTGTGCCATCTGTTATCTTTCACAATTGTATCATTACACTAGAAGATGAAATTTGAGCATTCTTTTCCATGCAGTTTTGAAAACTAGACTGCTAGAGCACTTACAATCAATTGATTAGTTTTAAGTAATAGCTACTGAGTTGGTATTGTGGAGCAGTAGCCCTGCAGGAAAGCCCTTCCAGTCAGGCCTTAACATGTTTCCTTAACTTGACTGAAGTTAAAAATCACCTGGGGTCAGACATGGTGACAGACACTTGTAATCCCAGAACTAGGGTTGGCAGGGACTCACACATGTGAGGATCCCTTAAATTTCAATGCCAGCCTGGTGTACATAGCAAGTTTCAGGTTACCAAGCTACATAGCAAGACCTTGCTTGAAATTATACTAAGAATATGCACATTTAAATTTTTTTAAATGAAATGGCTTTTTTGTTGCTTTCTGTATTAAAAGTGTACCTACAAAGTTAATTTTCTTTTCTGTTTGGATGGTAAACCTGGGAATACACTGATTTTAAAAAACCATCAGAGAGGAAATACAAGATGACTGAATGGAGGTGCTTCACACATACCACCTCCCCCACTTTTGGAGGACAAAAGAAACAAGTGTATATGCTTTTTTTTTTTTTGGTCTTTTTGAAGCAGGGTCTCCCTGTAGCCCCAGAACTCACTATGTAGGCCAGGCTGGCCTTGAACTCACAGAGACCCACCTGCCTCTGCCTCTCAAGTGCTGGGACTACAGGCGTGTGCCACCACGCCCAGCATAGCTGCATTTTTAAGATGAGTGTGAGAACTCTGGAATCAGTAAGAAAGAAAAATAGTTTTTCAGAAATAGAGACCCAGGACAACAGGCACAATAAAAATCACCTCCGGTGGGTGTGGGCATCTTCAGAGGAAGAGTAAGTTTCCCAGCAAACATCAATGTGGGTGCCTGCCATCCTAATTACTGTAAGGTTCCACAGGTTTGCAGTCTGGCTGGATAAGTAACCTGAAATCTCCACAGTAGTGGTATTAGTTTTCTGTTGCTGCAATGAAACACAATGACCAAGGCAACTTACAGAAGGAAGAATTTATTTGGGTTTATGGTTCCAGAGGGATAAGAGTCCATCATCGCAGAGAGACATGGCATGCCGGCAGAGATGGCCAGAGCAGAATGCTGAGTGCTCACATCTTCAGCCACTTGCAGAAAACCACTGGAAGTGGAGCACAGCTGTGAACTCTAAAAGCTGGACCCCTCCCCAGTGATGTGCTTCCTCCAGCAAGGCCATACCTCCTAAACATGCAAACAGCATCCAGCCTACTGGGGGACATTTCTCCTTCAAACCACCACAGTAGCCTTGCTTTGGAAAGGGATTTCACATCATCCTACAGTGTACACTCAGGATGCTACAGACAGGAGCCAGCTTTAGAAGTGAACTATTTGAGTTTTGACTGATCTAGAGGTCAGAACCCCTCATATACTACCATCTCTGAAACTTCATTACTGGCTTGGAGGTTAGCTACCTATGTGATTCTAAGCTGGTTCAGCAGAATGACAAACCGGTTGAGTATGTTGAATATCCTACCCTATAAGGCATGGGAGTTCAAGCGTGCAGAACTTACAAACTGGGAGGTTTGGCATTTGCCATCTGAGACCAAGCACATGTTCAACAGTTTTTGGAATTGGCCAGTGACAGGACTGAAAGATGTCCTGCTGCCCCTCACCATTGGGCTCAGGTACCTATTACAGGACTGGGAGGACACTGTGCTCCCAGCTATTGCCTGGTCCACATGTTTCTGCTGAGGGAACATTGAGAAAGTCTGTAAGTGCAGCTGCTACCCTGACCAGTGTGTGTGTTGTGTGTGTGTGTGTATGGCTATACAGAGGAGGGTGTTCACAAAGCAGTTCTGCCCAACAATAGCCAGGGCCTCACTCCTGGGAGGGCACTACCACCAAAGGAGTGGAGAACATCACAGTTTTGCTGCTGCTGCTGCTGTTGCCACCCTGTCCTCCACCTCATGTATCTGTAACTGACAGGGCAGGGTAGCATGGTGGATTCCACTGTTTTTCTGCTCACAGGGGTGTGATGAAAGGGCCTTAAGCAATTCTGTGGCTCCAAGTGTCCCCTTGTCTCAGGGTTCATTAACAGCTGGAAGAGTCAAGCCGTAGAGAAGCCCCAGCTCCAACCATTGCCCTATCAACATGCATACCCAAAGAGGGCTGAGTGGAGTTTTGCTCCAGGTTCTGCCACAATCCTGCTCCTGGGCATGTACTGCCACTTCCAGAGAGGAACCCTGTATTAGTTACATTTTGTTGCTGTGATAAAACACTGTAACCAAGAGCTCTTACAGAAGAGCATATTTTGGCTCACAGTTCCAGAAGGAGAATCCACAATGTGGGGAGGCAATGGCAGCAGGTGGCCAGAGCAGGAAACTGAGAGCTCACATCTCAACCTCACATAGGAAGCAGAGACAGTGAACTGGAGGTGGGGCAAGGCTACAAATCCTCAAAGTGATGTACTTCCAGTGATATGTACTTCCATCAAGGCCACATCCAAAGGTTCCATAATCACTCCAAACCAACTGGGCACCAAGTATTCAACTACTTGAGCCTGTGGTCTCTCCTGCTACCTACACAGTTCTGCTGCCTCCCCACCTTCCACTTTAACAACTTGTCAGGACTGGGGACAAGCACCATAAGCTTTGTTTCTTGTCACCGCCTCTTCCCACTTAGGTCCTGGATCTGTGTCACTTACTAGTTAGGCCCCTACCATTGCTAAGGCTTCCAGTACCAATGGCCCTTGATAGTATCAGAGATGGCATCAACTGTGCTAGAGAAAGCCCCTCATTGTTATGTAGAGCCCACTACTTCATTGTAACACACAAATTAAGCACCTCACAGCCAAAACCTGCACCACACTTCCCTGAACTAAGAGTATAGCCACTTTTAATAACCTGAAGAGAAGATGGGTCTCTCCAACTCCAAAGTGTACACTGTGCCCCAAAATCATTAGTTATAGCTAAAGAAGTTACATGAAATAATTCTAGGTGGTGCCCCCCCCATAAGTAAAGCTAACATGGCATAAAAATTGATATCCCAATACACATCCTCAGGAGTAAGAAGGGCATTTTATAAAAGTAGATCTACTTGATCTACCAAATACACAAATCTTAAAACAGCTGCATAAGCAATGTGGAAAATAGGCGCTGGAGAGATGGCTCAGCGATGAAGAGCACTGACTGCTCTTGCAGAGGACCCAGGTTTGATTCCCACCCACATGATGGCTAACAACCGCCTGTAACTCCTGTTCCAGGGGACCTGACACCATCTCACCTCCTCCCATATTGCACAACACAGGTGCACTTACACACACGCAGGCAATACACTCATACCCGTAAAATAAAAATAACAAATATATTTTTTTAAAAAAAAAGCAATGTGGAAAATAAGGAAGAATGCCTCCAGCAGAAAATAACCCTAGCAAAAGACTCATGGAATTAATACAGACAAAAATACCTGGCAGAGAATTTAAAGGAATGGGAGGCCAAGAAGATAGTGAAGTGCTTCATCCTATAACTGGGAAAAGACCACCAGACCCAATTTAAATTCTAATTATCGAGGTTTATTAGGACTATAGCCATCCGTGGTCTCAGTCAGATTCAAACACACCACCTGGAGGGGAGGCAGAACCAGTTTAGAAAGGCAAAAACTGCAAGAATTTCTTCACACATAAGTAATACCAGGTGGTCCTGAGTAGGGTCAGGATGGCCCAAGTTAGCAGGATAAGCAAGCTACAGAAGCCCAAATAAGCATTTGTTAGTCCTTTTCCTTCTTTTTTGTTTTATTTTGTTTTTGAGACAGGGTCTCCCTGTAGC